AAATAAAGAAATGTCCAGAGCTAAGGAGGATTCCCCTAGTAGGAAATGAGCAACCATCTCCTCCCGCTGCTCTAAATTATATTAGGGTATGGCCAGAAGAATTGTGGGAATCAATGGAATGGGACGATCCCAATGCCAAAAATGTCCTTCAACCCTTCATGGATTTCCTTTGAGCACCGCAAATGGAAAGTGTTTCGGCAGCTTCGCAATCCAACACTGTTGAAGTCCTCAGCTGCTTCTACACCTGAAAATCCCGAGGATGTTTCCTCGGGGAAAACACTCCAACGCTCAAGTCAGCAATACTCAATATTCTAGAGAGAGGTGCTCTCAAGGAGTAATTGCGGAGAGAGAAGCGTAGAGATTAATTACCTTCATCGGAGGTAGTTGGGGGTATTTATAGCCCCTTGGTGCTGACATACATCTACCCGTGCAAGCAGCCCCTTGGCCCACGTGGTGCTGGTCACGTGGGTATGCTTGTACCGATGCTCCTTCAGCTTGGGCTAGTAGGTGGTTACCTAGGCCCGTTATGCATAGCCCAGCCCTGTTTGGGTATTGGGCTGGGCCTATTCCAACATTACTCCCCCCCCCAGTGTTCGGTTGACGAACTGGGATGGATGCAGTTATGGGCCGACGTTGTTGGGTTGGCTCGATCCTCGCCGAAAGGTAAAACAAGAAGAGGCGAGCTCGTGAGCCTGAAAACGTGTGGGCGAGCAGGTACCCAGCGCCACATTAATTTGGGCTCGTTATGGTGGCGAGCTGAAGTGACTCGCCACAGACGAGCTCGCGTGCAGTGTACCACCCGATTAGCTCGTCCATGTGACGACCTGACCTTTTGCATACTACCGAGGCGCGACCAGGTGACACTCAGCTGGATATGATCACGAGGTGAGGCGAGGTGGGGCATCCATTGATTTATTCGAAGGTTTGCGGCCTGTGTGAGCTGCAACCCGTGTGACGAGCTGAATCCTGGGAAAATTTTAGCAACACACCTACACTTGTGAACGAATTGGCCCGGTTGAGCCGATCTGGCGAATATGTCATCTTTGTGACGACCTGATAAGTGCGGTTGTCGTCACGATGTGTGACGAGCAGAATCTTGGGGGGATTTTAGCAAAAAATCTGCACTGTTGAATGAATTGCTACAGTTGAGCCGATCTGGCAAAATGTCATGTTTGTAACGATCTGGTAAGTATGCTCACTATGGCGAGCTGATGTGACAGTACAAGGTACACATCAGCAGTGACGATCTGAATCTTGGGATTTTTTGAACTAAGCAGATCTGTGAGGAGATACGGTTGATCTTCCCCTATCCCTTTGTCTTCCCCGTCATAAATGCTGGCTCAGCATTTGAGGGACGTGACAGCTAAAGCCGGCGCACGTTATGCAGAAGGGACACTAAGCGTGTGCCACGTGTATGACGCGAATTGGCGCGTCAGAAACACGCGTACGGCAATTAACGCTACCATATCCTTCTCTGCGTAACCGTTTTCCCTTTTCATTTTCATTTCTGCATTTTGCTTAAACTCTCTAAAATTCTCTGAAGCGAAACGCTCCAACTCGAAGAACAGCACACCAAATCAACTTCACATCAATTTCAGGTAAAAATGGTTTCATTGAGAGAACTCACAGAGCAACGAGGTAACCAGGGCAGAGATGGGGAAGAGGAAGGGGTTTTGGCAGTGGAGCCTATCACGATGATAGTGCCGCCGGAGTTGCAGGACGTGCCGGAAACAATGGCGTCTGAGAGTAGCACCAGTTCCAGCGCCAGCGACAACGGTAGTGACCACCCTAGTGTATCGCCAAGCAGCTCGTCTACTGAAGAGACACCCAGCTGTGAAGAAGGAATGGGGGATGTGGTGAGCAATGTCTCAGATCGGCCGGTGATTGGGGAATGGGAAGGCGCAACGATCCCGGGCAGGTTAAGCAACCTGCGAAAAGCACCGAAGGACCTGCCCGCTGGATTCAGGTTCAAGGCTGTACTTCATCACGAAGTAGCAGACTGTGCACCCTCCATAAGTGGGTATAAACGACTAGAGGAGATGGTGAGGGCGTACCACATCCCTAGGACCATATTGCTACGGACAGGCGGGCAGAACGAAAGAGCGTGCACTGTGTCGCAAACGGGCTGGATACCAGTGTACGTGGACCATTTTGACGCCGGCCTGCGATTTCCCCTGCCCGGCCTGGTGTTCGATCTGCTCGCGGATTACGAGCTGGCGCTGACGCAGCTAACGCCCAACAGCATAAGGTTCATCATAGGCTTTATGCTGTTGTGCGCGAGATTGGAAGTGCCAGCTAAAGCGATAGTATTCAGATCGCTATTCCAGTGCCGGTTGTGTCCGAACTCACGAGGAGCGAAGTGGTACTACCTGTCCGGGAGGGATAAGAGCCAGCTCTTCAAAAATGTGAGGAACAAAGTGGCGAGGTGGAAGAGGCAGTTTATCTTTGTTCGCAACACACGAACAGAAAGGATAAGCAATGACCTGGCTGCCCGGCTGTCTGATTGGCGCACGCCGAACGCCCACATCAACTATCCCCAACTGCTGCCTCGAGATGTCGATCTGAAGAACCAGCTGCTTCAGTATGCACAGAAGGAGGGTCTTATAGATCTGGAAGCCCTGGTTACCTCGGAGCATCTCGCCATCGCCGGGTTTGTCGATGTGACAAACCTGTTTAGCGAAGGTATATTTTTATTATATATGACGGTTTCTAGCTGAGCTGAGGCTTATGTATTTGTTTGTGCAGGCGAAATGAGCAGCATACTGGAGCGTCAAGGTCAACGTGCCCAGAGTTCCCGAGGCCGCGGGGCGGGCAGCTCCGCGCAGAGGCAAACGCGGTTTGACGAGCGACCACCTGCAGTGCCTCAATCACGCAGCTCGTCTCATCGAGGATCCAGCTCATCCTCTTGACCGCGGGCTGATCAGAGGGTAGAGGTGGCGGCTCCCAGTGCACGCAGGCGTGCACGTGAGGAGACAGAGGGCGAAGAGGATGAGGTCCCCCTTGCCAGGCGCATAAGGAGCGGGGGCACCCAGCCCGCACAGGCGGCTTGCCCTGTGACCGTGCGTTCTCCAAACGCACCGTCAGCGACTGTGCAGGCAGCAGCTGAGCCCGCCCCTGCATCAGCTTCAACATCTGGCCCCAGGATTGCTTATCCTGAGGGTTTCAGCTACACACGGGCGGAGTGTCAGCCCGCCATGGTGCAGGCCATGCAC